ATGTTTACTTATTTGAGAGAGAGAGAGAAAGAGCAGGTGGGGAAGAGGGGAGAGAGAGAGAGAGAGAGAGAGAGAGAGAGAGAGAGAGAGAGAGAGGCAGGCATTGATAGGAGAGAGAAACAGAGAAACATGGATTGGTTGCCTCCCATACGCATCCCACTGGGGATCAAACCTGAAACCTAGGTATGTGCCCTGACCAAGAATGGAATCTGCCACCTTTTGGTGTCTGGGACAATGCTCCAACCAACTGAGCCACCAGGCTGGGGTGATACCCAGGCTTCTTATAGAGGGGCCCACTCAGAACCACCTGGGACTACCTGGCAACCTCCCCAACCCCAGCCAGCAGGAGGGGTTGGTGGGGCTATACCCTGCCAGTTCATTTTCAGGAAATCACACTTAGTCCTCAAACTTGCCCGGTCCTTGGCTGGATCTGTCAGTCTCCTGGTAGACAGGTAGGCCTGGGGCGGGAGCGGGGGCGGGGGGGGGGGGGGGGGGGGCGCGGTTGAAAGGTGTGTATGGGGCACAGGGAATGCTGGGTGGTCACAAAGTTTAAAGCGATTGTGAGAGTGGAAGTTCACTTACATGTCATCCACAGGATGGGACCTCCTTGGGCTGGCTTCACCTCATACAGAGAGACTGGGAAGCCCACAGGCTCAATGGCAAGGCATTGAGGTGTGTTCTTTCAACAGCTTTCAACACTTGACCATTATTTATTAAGTATTGATTCTGTGCCAGGCATTGTGCTGGGATAACTTGTGTGAAAGATGAGATGACATACTTCAAAACCACTTATCAGAGTGGTGTTATCATTTACCCCTAGGGCCTGCTTGGTAATTAATAAAGCATTTCTAGGCACTCAGTCATGCCTGACAGCAGGAATGTGAAGGATAGCTATTGTTAATCCCATTTTATTGATGAGGTAACTAAGGCAGAGGGTAATAGAACTTTTATGCAAATGAGAGAAGACCCAATTCAAGCTGGCTAACGTGAGCCAGAATTTGAATTGGCTAGGTAAGGCAATGATCTGGGCTAGGCGCAGATTCCCACACCCCTGCACCCAGGCTCAACAAACACAGGATGCGGGTATCTTTGTCTCCTGACTTCTTCCCACATGAATTGACCTTGTTCTCAGGTGGCAAGATGGCAGCAATAGGGACAGCCTCACAGCCTTACCTGTCCAAGTCCGGTAGAAAAAGAGAAGACCTCTTGCAGATTGTTAAAGACCAAGACTTAGGATTAGCCTGATTGGCTGTGCCCATCCCTGAACCATTCCCTGTCGTCAGAGCATGGAACTCACTGATTGGCTCGTGCCTGGTCATAAGGTTCACCCTGGAAGTAGATGTGGAATCCTTTCTTCCAACACATGGACCACAGAGAGTAGGAATCAGAATCCACATGGAGGGATAGTCAAAGTTCAAGATTCACTAGAGGGTTCACTGGGGACAAAGCCAGGCTTCTCCAGGTCTCATAGGCAACTGGGAAGCAGTGGGAGAACAGCATCCTGGCCCTGGCTGAGGCCAACTTTGGCTTTGGTTAGTATCCCTTTTCTGAGCAGATCTTTCTAGAGCACCCTAAACAACAGTGACAAAACAGTATTCTGAGACCCAGAGACAGCATACTAATATGTGATTAGGAAGACAGGAAGGTGTGCATTGGATTCATCCCTTATGCAATGGCTGACCCACAGAGATGCCCTTGTCATCCCTCACACCTGAAGTGCATTCTATTCATCTCAGCCTGGTAAAATCACAGCCAGTGTTCAAGTTTATGCTCAAAAGTCTGTCAGAATGAATCACTTCCTCTCATAGACTTTGGGCTAGCCAATAGTTTGTAGGGTTTGTTTTTACCAGTAGATCTTTATCTTATCTATGAACTTGGCTCACCTGGTGATGATCCTCAGATGAAGGATTCTGAGGCTTACTAGGAAGACTCCTGTGATTGATTAGTGATGCCACCTGAAAGGAGCAGGGTGGTAACTTTTATTAGTTAGGACATTTTCTATTGCAAGTAAAGAAAACGAACTAAAACTAACTTAAGCTGAAAATGTCGTTTATTATAAGGATGCAAGGATATGTCATGGGTCTTAAAAGCAGAGAAAACACTATAGCCAGACCTCATGAAAGACTGAAACCATTGGAAATGAATTATCTATAATAATAAAAGCATAATATGCTCATTAGACTGGACAGCCAGACGTCCTTCCAGACAAAGCCACGGGGTCTATGAGGGCCGAGGGCAGGTAGCCCTGGCACTGGCAGCGGCAGCAGTGGTGGGGTGATGGGGGTGGCGCCTTCCCCTGATTGGCCTGGTTGCCTCCCACAGAGGGAGGCTAGACTGCATCAGTAGGACATCCCCTGAGGGCTCCCAGACTGTGAGAGGGGGCAGTTCAGGCTGAGGGACAACCCCCCCCCCCCCCCAGTGCACAAATTTTCAATGCACTGGGCCTCTAGTTTCTTCAATATTTATCTATCTTCTGGGGCTATATGCTATATCTTCTTGCAGATGACAGAAGATGGTCATACATGATCTATATTTATATGACCATCAGGTCTAGCAACATGTAGAGAAAGTCTTGGCTAGTCTAGCTTGAGTCATTTATCTACTTTTGATCCAATCAACTATGGTCAGTGAGTTGGGTTCCTTAATAACCTGGGGAACCCTGTGAGGTGAGAGAAGGGCCAGTTTTCAGGGAGAAGAGGGTCATCTGGACAGACACTTCAGAAGAAGGCTCCTTTCTATTTATTCTGTGTATTTGCTGACCACACCTTGATAGTAGTGGTAGCCACAGTGATAATGGTAGTAGCAGTAATGGTGATGATGGTGACAGGGATACAGAAATAAATAAAACTTAGACTTCCCTTCAGGGACTTGCAATCCAGTAGGAGAAAGTGACTTAGATACCACACAGACTCTGATAATTTCCAAAAGGCAGATCCTGGAGGGGCAGGATCATTGAGTTGAATCAGTTCACCCTACCTCCTTGCTCCCTCTTCACCCATTCCTCTCAAACCCACACAAGATGGGACAACGTCTATCCATAAGCTTTTTAATCATGTTGCTTTCAGACTTTTGACCTCAGATGAAAGCATCTTGTCAATTGTCCCTTCCCCCCTCACCCCTACTCCTGACAGTTGGAGGGGTACCCTCAGCACCCCAACCCACTTGATATCCAGCCAGCCCCCTGCCACCCCTTTCTGCCATCTCCCTGTCAAACATTGTCACAACCTGATAATTATTTTATTTATTTTTAAATATTTTAACCATTATTAATTTTTAGAGAAAGAGAAAGGGAGAGAGAGAAACACCAATGTGAGAGCGAAACATCTATCGGCTGCCTCCTGCATGTCCCCCACCGGATATTGAGCCCACAACCTGAGTATGTGCCCGGACTGGGAATGGAATCAGCTACGTTTCTGTTCATGGGACGACACCCAGCCAACTGAGCCACACCTGCCAGGGCCTGATAATTATTTTTTTAAAGAAGAAAAAATAAGGTTGAAGTCATGCCAGAGCCCGGGAAGCAATCTGTGGCCCCCTGGTGTCATCAGGAGCTCTATTTTCTTTAGTCTAAGTACCTGCCCAGCAAGTATATTACAGTCTCAGAACTTAGCATTTCGGAGCTTCCAGAAGTCACAGCTCAGTATGTGGCCTGCCTTTAAGGGATCAGGCTGTGATTCCGTTTCTTCCCTCTTTTTCTCTCTTGCTTTGCTCTCACACATTCTCTTTAAAAACCAAAATGGTTCCTTTCTTTTCTTTCTTTTTTTTGGTTTTCCAATCAGATGTTCACAATTGCCACCTTCTTCTTTTCATCTTTCCTACTAGAAGAATGTAACTGTGTACCTGCCTGAATTAAAAGGCTCTTCTATCAGAGGAGTAGGAGCGCATTCATGGGACCAGGGGCCTGAGCCCCCAGTAAAGGCAGAGCTGCGGGTGCTATGGGACAGTGACCGAGTTTCCATAGGAAGGGCCGCTTTCAGAAGAGATTGGGTGATTGCCTTGATTGAAATATGGCTTTCGGTGTGTCGCTGGGTTCTGCGGAAGAGGTTTCCAGCTGTGTGTCAGCTTGCAGGCCATGGGCTTTTCCTCATCTGGCTACTCAGGGGGAAGCATGGGTAGATGACAGACATCTGAGCCTCAGCCGTGGGCTGAGGAGGACACCTTGGCGAGACTGAGTCATTCATTCATTCCTTCACCCAGTCATCAGTTTCTGAGATCCCCGCTGGCTGGCTCTGCCCTGGGATTCTCCCAGCTTACTCTGCCCTCTTTCATTTTGACCTCTGGCCTGAATGAGAGTGCAGGTCTATACATGGCTTTGCTTTTGCAGACCTCTGCTCACCTCTAAATAAAATGACAATACCACTGCTTGCCACGGAACTGCCTAAGAATGGCCATGGGAATTTAGGACTCATTTTTCTCCAGACCCAAGAATGCCTGAGTTCCATGCACAGCATTTGGGAGTATTGACATAATCTGTTACACTGCCTAGCGGCCCAGTGATGGCGAATCTTTTGAGCTCGGCGTGTCAGCATTTTGAAAAACCCTAACTTAACTCTGGTGCCGTGTCACATATAGAAATTTTTTGATCTTTGCAACCATAGTAAAACAAAGACTTATATTTTTGATATTTATTTTATATATTTAAATGCCACTTAAAGAAAAATCAACCAAAAAAATGAGTGTGTGTCACCTCTGACACGCGTGTCATAGGTTCGCCATCACTGGCCTAGCCAAACAAAGTGAAATGATGGCTGCTACTAGGAGGGGATTGAGAGAGATTTTTTGCACCAAATTTACCTGCCCCAGAGTGAGAAGAATAACCTAGAAATGCCTCACCAAGTTGAAAAACGCTGTGAAGTGCGGTTGTCAATGCAATGACCGCTGCTCGGGCGGGGCAGCTAATGAATGGTCATGGCCGGACGCCGCTTTCCATCACCTTGGCGGCGTCTCCCCAGAGCTGTGTCCAGGTGGAACGATTCTGCTCCGTGCTCTCATCTTCGTTTCTAAGTGTTCAATTTTAATAAAACAGATATGAGGTCAGGGAACAGAAGTCACTTAAGAAGTAACTGCATATGCAAACCACTGTGTAACTCACTGCGATTGAAAATGCAGTAAAACCTTGATTAACTGCACCCCAAGTAACCAGAACTCTCAATTAACTAGGATTTATTTTGTAGAATTCTGCTTTTAGGGGGGAAGAGCATGTGATGGGGGGCGGAAATCTCATCTCAGGGATTTTTAAAAAACATTTTCCAAGGTCTATCTGATCTCAATCTCCCTTCTTCCTAATATCCCTTTCTTCTTCACCTCCATTTAAATGCCTATGTGATGAAAACTAATGTCAGAAGGGTGGCCCTGGAATGTGTCACGTCAGTTCAGCTCCATCATTTTACAGACAAGGACCCTGAGACCCAGAGAGGTGGAGTAACTTGCCTGAAGACACATAGCTGAGGGCTGCCAGCAGCAAAGTCTCTGAAATGCTAGTCAAAGGCTATAGCTATGACCTGCCACTGCCACTGCCACTGCCACTGCCACTGCCCCTGACCTTAGCTGCCTAGTCTTGGTAGTCACCAAAGTGGCTGCATATGAACTGAAAAGGTGGGGGGAAATGAGAGGGCCCAGCGATGAGAGCATCATTATCCAGGCACCCGTGCCCACACTGGGTCCAGAGCACC